GTGGAAGGGGTGGGGGGGGACGGGACACAGGGAACGGCGGCCGCTGGCACGGCGGACATTTGCCATGCGCAAACAACAGGCACTTGGGCAAACAATTTAAGCTCTCCGCAGCCTGCTGGAAACTCGCTGGCGGGGCTTTTTTTATGATTATTTTTATTTATTTATTTTCCTCCTTGCATCTCTTCCCACCTTGTTTATAAGCGACGCTATCTGGCCGGCACCGCTCCCTCAGTTTTTATTATCTCTTCCTCCCAGAGGGCCCGTTATCGTTCCCTCCTTCGCTGGGTTCCTCTGGGCTCCCTCCGGCTTCTCCCCGGCCCTCCATCCCGTTCCCCACGGGTGACAGTCCCACCACCTTCTCAGTCTTTCTCCCTGTTTCTTCCCAGGCCCTGCTGAGCCTCTCTCCTTCCACAAATCCCATTTACTCTTTTCCAGGTGAGCTTTTCCCAGCTGGATGCCCCCAAAGTGCTAAACTCCAGCTGTCCTTCTTCCAGCAGCGAGTCCCTTCCCCTCTGAAGACAGCACAGTTCAGTAAAATATACCTTTTTTTTTTTTTTTTTTAAATAGTAAATACATGGCCACACAGTTACTGGAACTGAAACCTGCATTTTCTTTCCCCGTTTCCTTTACTTGATGCGCAGTAACCGTCCTGTAAAATGTGTTTTTATTAATTCTTTTGGAAAAAAAAAATCTGTATTTCCTGATGTACTCAAACGCCAAAACAATCCATAATAAAAAATTCCAGTCAACGGTGATAATTGTTTTGGTTTTGCTATGACAAAGCCGTCTCTCGAATTCCGACTAATGGCTCGGCTGATCAATATTTGATAGCGAGTGCTGCTTTCCGTGCCGCTCTGGCATAAACATCGTTGGGAAGAAACATATCCCTGAGCTGTGAGAGCGGAAGGGAGGGATGGCCTCCTGGGCTTGGGCTATTAATTGATAAATTTACTAAGACTTCTTTGCGACCTTTCTATTGATTCATCTAAATGTACTTTTAAGTTACATTTTCACTTCATAAAGGATGATGCGTTTATTTAATCTGGAGGATTAAATAAGTGCGACAACTCCCGAGGAATCAAAGATATTGTAAAAATACGGTGGGAAAAGGAAGAAAGTTTTTTGCCTCAAGGGCAAAGAATTTCAGGTAAAATTACCTGGTTTTTTTTAACTTTGTTATGTAAACCTGTAAGGCTTACGCTGTTGCAGAGATTTGAACTTTGAGACGTAAGAGGCACTAAAAATCCAGCATATTTTCTTTAACCCTGCATTATGATCATATTGGCTTATTACTGCTCATGATATCCTTACTCAGCTGCCACTCTGGGTCAGCTGTGTTTCCTTAACACCCCTCCAAAAAAGGGTAAAAACTACAAAGAGCTAAAATCTGGGGAGGGAAACAGGAAATAATTTAAGCCCTTATTATTTCTAAGTCAATCAGGATGTCGTTGAAAAGAACACCAGGTTACATTTTTCTCCAGTTGAAGATGTGAATACTCCCTCTGGTATCAACAAAGCCATGAGTTCATTCAGTTCCTTTGGTCTGGCATGATTAGGAGTGCATGGGCGGTAAATAAAACATTGTTTGTCTAGAGTGTAGTAAAAGTTGAGGCCCTTGGAGCTGGTATTTATTACTGAAAATCGCTCGGGTAGGCTTTGATTCAATTTTCATCTAAAATGACCATACCTTCATTCAAAATAAAGCTGTGAGGCAGTGCAGGCTGAGGAGTGATTTAAGCATGTCTTGTTCCCCCTGTCCTCAATGAAGCAGGACTTTGTACATTCTTAGAACAACCAGAGTCACATCAAAGATACTGGCTACATCACAAGCTTTGACTGAGGGACCCACATGATCCCAAATTTTGTCTGGCTTACTGGTCAGAGACTGCTTTTGATCTCGGCTAATGAGTAGTCTCCTCTTTCCCAGCTCTCATTTACTGGTGTGAAGGATGGTGAAACGGGACTGAAGAAGACATCTGACTTGTCCAATCCCTCCTTAGGTAAGCTTCAGATGGTGATTTCCAGATTGTTCCAAATCCTTTCTCCCCCGGGGAAGCCCCCACCGGGTTCGTTACTCGTGGGCTCCCGTCCTGCTCCTCCTTTTGATCTTTGGGTGAAACAGTCGCCCAACGCTCCCCAGTCCGGCCGTTCCCCGGCTTCCTCTGTCCTTACCCACTTCTGTGGAAACATACGCTGTGTGGGGAAAAACCTAGTGCTGCCTCCTGAAAGAGGGAATTTTTAATATCGGGTTTTATGTCACTTTCACCCTGCTTTTATTGTGAAGATTTTTCTCCGCTGAATTCAAGAAGCAGATTAAATACGCGTAAGCAGTAATTGAGAGATGCCAGTGATGCTTGTATTTATTTCAAGTGTGAGTAGAATTTGTCTTAAGAGGGCAAGAAGTGGTTTGAAGTTGTACCCATTTATTTCCCCCTGTGCCTTCTGATTTGTTTTTATCCTGAGTTTAACCCCTTGGAATGTGATAGAGTCAGCGTGTCCCTCTAAGGCAGCGTCTGCCTGGGCAGTGTTTGTAGCATCCTTTCAGGAAGGTGCTTTCTCCCAGTCACTTTCTTATCAACCACCTTGGTAGAGCTGGGAGCTACCACGCCGTGTTGATTTTGAGTCCATTTGGGTTTGTTTCAGTGTTGGGTAGCTTTGGGTTGTGCTGTTTTCCTGCAGGGAGCTCTGACTGCCCTTCCAAAATACTCTATGACTGGTTTCCTTTCTCAGAGACTGAGCCAGAGGAAAGACTTCCCAGTGCAATAGCTGGGCAAACGCGTATCCTACTTCCACATTTCTTTTAGGTTCATGCCACTAAATATATGTATTTAGTCTATAGAATTGAATTTACTTCCCTTCTCAGAGGCACAGCTTTGTCAGCTCCGATGATTAGCTTTTGTTTGACGTTCATAATATTGTACTTCACCACTTGTTTGATGGAGCTGTGCGGAACTCTTGAGGGGGGGGTTCTGAGATGTGACAACCCACACGATGCTTTTTTAGACTTCACAAACCGCCTTCACGAGGCAGAAGAAATGAAACAGGAACGGCTGGCTGGAACAACAGCGAATATTAATGCCGGTGTAGTTGGGGGGGAGGAATGCTGCTTAGAATCTGTGTTTTTATCGTATGCTGTCAAAGGAAAACTGCAGCCTGAAAGAAAAGGCATCGTGGATGCCATGGGTGGAGACTGATCATCCCGTCTGGCTCTGGAGGCAGTAGAGATATTGGAGGAAAACATGTTAAAACCTGTTTCGTCCATCCAAAGACAGAAAAGCTCAAGTGAGACAGCCCAGATGCCCCATTCCCTGCTTTCTTACCTTAATAAATGGCAGGATCTCACTTTTCTGACCAACTCCCGTGTCTGCATCCCTGCTGGTATGTGTGGCATTCGTTATGAGCTTTGTTTGGAATCCTGGTAACCTCTCGATGAAAGAACTCGTGTTACGGATTTAAAAAAACCAACAACTTTTCTGACTTCTGTTCACAGACCAACAAGTACACATTAGGAAATATTTTTGAGGATTTTTACTCCTCTGTGGTTTTTAAAATTAGAAAAGTATCGGGATGCTTATGTCAGTCTTCCATAAAAGGAGAGCACAAGGACTGCCTTTGACATCTTCTCCATACGTAGCCACGGAAGCCGTGTTAAGCGGTGCCTTCTTCTTGCTTCCTCGGGGCAGCCAGGCTGGGTTTGTGTTCTGTGTTTTCATCTTTCTGAAATCGCAGTTCAAGCTTCATATTCCTCACGCGATTTCATATCCCGGGTGAGATGCACAGGTCAAATAAGCGACTTAGCAGTAGAAGATCTTCTTGTGTGAGCTGGACCTCAAGGGGGAGGATAAAACCTGGCCCAGCTGAGGGGGAATTGCCGTCTCCTGTAGGACCAGGAGTTTTTGTGGTTCTCTCATTCGAGTGGCTGAAAGCAACGCAGACCGTACCACTTCTTTGGCAAAACGTCTGCCACCGGGAGGTGGCTTCACTCAAGTATAGGTTTCTGTGAGATGAAGACAAACTTAAAATGTATTGCTCATTCCATTCATAACCAGAAGTTCTCCCGGCTTGCCAAGCTGCTGAGTCAGCCTGGGTACCTCACCCTTGAGTCAGCAAAGCCTGAAATAGAAACTTGCGGTGCTTCCGAAGGGAGGAAGTACCACTGTTGTCTGCAAGTACAGCCCCATCTAACGTGCTTTTGTAACTACAAACACTGGCTGGAAGGACTTGCATGACACTCTACTTCTTTAACAAAAAAAAAAATAAGGGGAAAAAAAGGGCATTTTCTTACTTGAAATGGGAATGTTGAGGTTGCTATGAATAGGGTTGTCTAGGTGAGGAAGCACCAAAAAATGAACCCCAGGAGAAAAACTGTACAAGCAACAGTCGTTGTTGTCACCTAGACTAGCCAAGCATCAGGCTCCCATCTACTTGCAGCTTCTCAGGACATTGAAATTCAGGTGACAAAGGGAAGGCTACAACCACACTAAAGCTCTAAGCCATTAGAGCTTTAACTCTTAAGCCGTTAAAAATGATGGCAAGAAGACAGGGTAAAAGCTGTAAAACACCCATCAGCATCAGTTACAGCAGCGCTCATCCAGGGTTCCCAAACTGCAGTTGGGTCACTCTCGCTGCCGTGCCGTAACGCCGCGCTGTAGCATGGCTTAAAATAGCTAAAAACGGTGAAAATGACCAACAGTTCGTTTTCTTACTTGAAATGGGAATGTTGAGGTTGCTATGAATAGGGTTGTCTAGGTGAGGAAGCACCAAAAAATGAACCCCAGGAGAAAAACTGTACAAGCAACAGTCGTTGTTGTCACCTAGACTAGCCAAGCATCAGGCTCCCATCTACTTGCAGCTTCTCAGGACATTGAAATTCAGGTGACAAAGGGAAGGCTACAACCACACTAAAGCTCTAAGCCATTAGAGCTTTAACTCTTAAGCCGTTAAAAATGATGGCAAGAAGACAGGGTAAAAGCTGTAAAACACCCATCGGCGTCAGTTACAGCAGCGCTCATCCAGGGTTCCCAAACTGCAGTTGGGTCACTCTCGCTGCCGTGCCGTAACGCCGCGCTGTAGCATGGCTTAAAATAGCTAAAAACGGTGAAAATGACCAACAGTTGCAGTCAAATAGTGGGAAGTGACATTGTGAAAGTCATCAGTGGGACTTCCGTGAGTAGGTGGAAGGCAGTGAAAAGGGGAGTATAAAAATAGTCCTTATGTGATATAAATTAGGGAGGAGTTTCTGTGGCTCCAAGTCAGGCAAAGAAGTAGAAAAATAATCATAGCATTAATTCACCTGTTCTCCCCTTCTCAAATTGCCCGTTTTTTTTATCTTGCAGATGTAGCATCAGTAAAATATGTAGTGGGGAAAAAAAAAAAAAGCCTTTGCTGTAGGGAAAGTCCAGATGTATTTTACTTTCTCTGGAAACTTTCTTCCTCTCCTCCAAAAGGAGGGTGGCCCTGTGCTGGTCTCCCATGCCTCAACGTGACCTGTTCCCCTCTAGCCATGAAGGTCTCCTATATGCTCCTTTCCCTGTAAAACATCACAGCTTCTGTGATCTTGGAAAATCAGGTTTATGAAGCCAACGTTGTAGACAAATAGGAAATTAAACCTTTATATTCTCACAACTTGCTTATTTAGACAGCCTGTCTCCATAGCACAGTTTCTGGGGGAGATGCTTATGGACAGGAGAGTTCTCCCTTACAAAAAGGACCCTCAGAAATAAACTATTTTAACTATTCAGAACCAAACTAGCTTCAACTGTTCATATAATCTTGCAGGTGAGTTTCCTCCTAGGGTGATGCTTGGTGCGGGATTTTCCTGCAGTGCCATAGAGGAAACAATAAGAGATTTGGACAAATTGGCATTTCTGCAGTGGGTGTGAACATCACAACACACAATTTTACTGTTTTCTGATCTTTGCATCAGTGTTGTTTCAAATTGCAGCACATTTTATATTTAGTGTTTTGGATTATTCAACCGAAAGTAGGTGGGGATGAGAATTTACCGGCGCAATTACAGGTTTATGTGATCACCTTGTGCACACACCACAGGTTTGGGAGAAAGACCTGCTGCAAATCCATGGAAAATCCTGGCTATGGCAGGAATTACACAACATAAAATCTAGTGAAACTGTGTCCAGTTTCAGGCCCCTCACTACAGGAGGGACGTTGAGTGTGTCCAGAGAAGGGCAACGGAGCTGGTGAGGGGTCTGGAGAATAAGTCTTATGAGGAGAGGCTGAGGGAGCTGAGGGTGTTCCGCCTGGAGAAAAGGAGGCTGAGGGGAGACCTTCTCACTCTCTCCAACTCCCTGAAAGGAGGGTGTAGCCGGGGGGGGTCGATCTCTTCTCCCAAGGAACAGGTGATGGGACAAGAGGGAATGGCCTCAAGTTGCACCAGGGGAGGTTTTGGATGGATATTAGGGAAAAACTACACCCAAAGGGTTGTGAAGCCTTGGAAGAGGCTGCCCAGGGCAGTGGTGGAGTCACCACCCCTGGGGTTATTTAACATCTGGGCAGATGTGGTGCTGAGGGACATGGGTCAGTGGTGGGTTTGGCAGTGTTGCACTGATGGTTGGACTTGGTGATCTGAAAGGTCCCTTCCAACCTAAATGATTCTGTGATTCTATAATATTGGATTTTTGGTGATTTTCTTTTTTTCTTTTCCCCAGGAAGTGTAGAAGAGAACATTCTTCTCAGCTGCACCTGAGGTTTCACCTGCGGGGCTGCAACTCCGATGCTGTCTAGGAGTACAGGTGACCCCTATTACTCCAACCAGAGCAGATACATCTGAGCAATTTAGCAATGATGTGACACACACGACGTGGAAGGCATTGAGAAAGTACTGTATCAATTTTTAGTTTGTATTTAAGATGGTTTCTACATGCTGGTGTCCTCTAAGCACGGAAAGAGTACACTCCTCCTGTCTGCAAACGCAGGAACCAGTCGTTCTTTCAATTTATCGCTGTGGCAGTGGGGTTAAGCCTTTGATGAAAGAAGAAAAACTAATACAGGGCAATTTGACCCCTGCTACATCAGTGTGGGGACCGAAATTGGGGTGGCCCAACGAGTCCAGTGATCCTACTGCTGATACATATAGTGTTTGTGTTGATTAAAAACTGGTTTCATTCTAAAGCGGTGGCTGCTGCACTTCGCTCTTGATGACTTAAAGATTTTATTTACACTGCACAAAGAAAAGACTCCAGTAAAAGGTTATTGCTGGGGCTTCAGACTCAAGTACTTAAAAATTACAAAGAGATTACATTGATTTTAGCGTTTTGACGCTCTCAAATGGTATCTATGGAGTGCTTGGTGCTCTCTGAGTATTTGGGATTTTTGCGAGGCTGTTGATGGACCGTGAGTGTTGAAAGCTGAGCGTGTCTCTGCCACGGGCCCAGTTCTGTTTCCAGGGAACGAGATGGGAGGAAAATGTTGCTGAAAACACTAAAGCGCAGCAATTTGGCAGAGATGGTTATCACATCTCTGAGTCGTTTTTACCTGCACTGCTGCCCTGACAACTGCAGTACATTGTGGAAATAAAACATGAAGTCACTCAGGTCTGGGTTCTGCTGTTTCTGGACAAGGGGAACCCGTTAAATACCTTTTGCTGGAGGTAAGAGAAAGTGCACGCTTCCAGAGCAAAGGAGAACTATCAGTCCTGGGTACTGAAAACACAGCAAATATTCATTAAAAAGAGGATTTGGGGGACAAAATGAAACGGCATAGAAAACACAATGAAAGATTGTGGAGGGAGAGAGAATACAATCCAGCAATTATTGGCTAGATGCAATTCAGGATTTAGGGATGGGTCTTAATCCTTTTATAAACCAGGAATCTCCTTGGATTGGGTGCTGGGAGGACTGACAGTCACACTTGATAAGCAAAAATCAAATAACCCTCGTGCTTCGTTGGTGCGGGCTAAACTCCTCATGACACAGCCAGGAAAACCTGTAACCTATGAGAGGCTTTTGGGTTATTTCCCACCAAAACTGCAGCTTTCGGAGGCTCTGCGCGACTGGTACCTGTGAGAACTGTTCGGAGGTTGTGTCGGTAGATTTAAAGAGCTGAGTTATTTACCAAAGGGCATCTCTGACAGGGAATTTGGTGCCGTTGGCTGCTGTGCTGCTACTGTGTGTGACCCTGTCCCATCACTGCATGCCTGAAACCGTCCCACATATTGTCTGTTAATTTGGTAAATTATTTCCTAGAACACTTAAGAAACCAAACAAGGAGCTGAAATTGCCTCTCAGTATTCAGTCCAAACAAACAAACAGACAAACAAGCAGATTGTGTGTCTTATGTGTCTAATCAAAACAGCTTGGTTATTAGTATTAAACTCCTGGATGCCTGGAGAGCCTGCTTCTAAATAATCCATGAAGCTGAAGCATAGCTGAAAAGATTAAAAAAGGTTATTCCACCGTCTTCAGCTGATGTTTCTGCAGGGTAGCAAGAAAAATGTCCCCTCTCCCCTGTAACGCCAGGGTTTAGTGGTGGTTTTCTGTCAGTGTTGGGTTGATGGTTGGACTCGATGATCTGAAAGGTCCCTTCCAACCGAAATGATTCTTTGATTCTGTGATGCCCTGGTGTGTCCATGACACTGGCGTGTCCTCTGCAGGGGATGTGACACACTCCTGCGGGGGTGTCGGGAGGCAAAGGCGTGTGGCCACAGAGAGAGAAAAGGCTCCGACCATAAAACAGGAAAGTGGGGGCCGAGAAGCAGATTTATTGTGTTAAGTGGCTTTTTCCTGCCTGCTCATTTCTCCTCTTTTACCACCCTCACTTCGGTTCCGTCCTCAGCTTTGGCTCCGTGCAAGAGCAGGGAAAATACTCTATTCTCCTTTTGTGGTCGTAACGCATATTTGTGAAATCCCATTTTATTGTAACCCAAACAATGATTGCCATGTTTTATTTTTTATCTGAACCATCTGAGCTCTTAACGAAAGATTTACCCTTAATCTGGATCTCTTGCTTCCTTTTCTTGTCGCGGTGGGTTCTAAGTCAAGGCACACGCCACGCTGCTTTAGCGGCAATTTGTCTTGAATGGAGAGGTGTGGATTTTTAACCAGATTTTTCACCCTGTCCTGTCTCCTCCCCGCAGCCTGCTTAGACCAGGAGGCACCAAGTTCATCACTTTGCCTCAGCCTTGGACTTCCCCTGTCTCCTCCCTGCAGCCTGCTTAGACCAGGAGACACCAAGTTCATCGCTTTGCCCCAGCCTTGGACTTCTCCTTGAAAACCAGACCCGTGGGCAGGGCTTCTGGAGAGATGAGCATCTTCTTAAACTCATCCGGCCCACAAACCATCCCACAGCCCACCTCCTTCCCCGAAACAAGCCACCTGCCTTGATAACCACGGAAACTGCAGCAACGCAGCGGCACCAACTTGACTTTTTCCCAGCAAGACAACGCACGGCAGCGATGATTTTGTGGGTGGATGTCTCTCTGTCGGAGAGAACGAAGCTTCAGGTGGTCTGAGCCCACAGCCCACCACTTCTGCTCCACTCGGCATCCTTAGGAGAGGATGGACACATAGAGTTTGGGGGGCTGAGGCATTTTAAAAATACTATATGGGGCTGAAAAATGAACTGCCCGTTGATAGGAATGAAGGATGCTCCTCGTGGCGATGGGTGCTGCTGCAGCAGCGTGGGGCTGAGGGCAGGGATGTCCTGGGCTGGCCGGGCTGCCCCCGTCCACCTCCTGCTCTGCAGCAGCTCCAGGCGAAGAGCTGGCAAACGCCACGCTCCAAAAGGTCTCCCTTTGATAAAGCCTTACATCAATCAGCAGACACAGCTGAAGAAACCTCTCAGTAGGCTGTAAATGTTGTATTTAGTGTTTCTGAGCGTAGCGCAATCTCAAAGCTTCATTTAGCAAAAGCAGCCAAATCTACCGTGGTGTCGGACTGTGGTGCCGGACAACTTTTATTTACAGCAAATAATAACTGTTTTTAATTAGCTGTATTTACACCAAAGATGTCAACGTTGAGCTCTCTAAACTAAAAGGACAGAACATCCTTAGCGGGGAAATGTGATTTTTGAAGCCTGACAACTTAAAACCAGCGGGAAGATTTTAGCTCGGGCCGCCTGGGGAGAAAAATCACCTTTGGCTCAACAAAACAGGAAGGATTTCGAGGCCCCAGCAGAAGTTTTTCAAGAAACGAATGAAAATGGAGGATTAAACTGTTTTGCAATCGCTGGCCTCAATCCTGCAGACACTTTTCACACGCACTTAACTTTATCTACGTGCTCAGTTTTGCTGACCCGCATGGGACTGTTTGCACGTGGAGACGTAAGTACATGCCTGAGCGTTTACAAAGTGGAGTTTAAACTATGGCATCTGTTATTGAAAAAAATGACATTATGTCAAGATCTCTGTAATTGGCTCATCGAGATTCTTTATGTTGGAAAAAAAAAAAAAATAAATGAAAAAAGCTGAGAAATTCAGGAATTAAGATTCCTGAGGCGGTCTCAGATCTGCTCCCTCCGGTGAACAGGATCTTTTGTTGTGCTGGATCACAGCCCTGGGCCACGAGACTTATTTAGCAGCTATTTAAAAAAACAAAACAACCAACACCTTTATATAGTGTGAATCTACTGCTGGTAGAAAGATACCGTCTGCGTTTATTATCTGCATTTATTGTCTGTGTTTCTTTCTGCTCTCTAATGTGTGTCAAAGCTAAAAAAATTATATGTTTGGCCACTAGCTGAGACTGAAAGTTTCCTCTCATCGATGGGAAGCAATTAATTGAAAGAAAAAAATATATATATAATTTTTTTAGGGTTTTTTTAGTAATTTTTTTTTCGTATCACAGGAGTATATTCTGCCTGCCATGAAGAGGGGTTGTTGAACCCCCCTGAACCAGGAATCAATCACCTCTGGGAGCTGCAGCAGTGCTGCTGATCGGCCGGGTTCTGTGTCGAAGCCAAACTGCCACGGAGCTGACTCACATTTTGGCATTTTGTGTTTATAAACGAGATGACGATGTTTGCAAGCAATGGGAAAAAAAAAAAACAACAAACCAACAAAAAAAAGCCTCTCCTCAGCACTATGATCCCAGCAAAGCCTTTCCCTTCCCTTCCCTGCTGCACCGGCAGAGCCCAGGGATGTGGGCTTGTCTTGGCTTTTTTCCCTTTTCCCAGGTGATGGCAGGGGTCTCAGGACTTGCTGTGGAAGGGATGGGGACACTGGCCACACTTTTCTCAGCACCCTGCCTTGTCCTTTGCTGGGGGAGAACAAACCAGGAAGAAAATTCCATGGGAGAGCCCTGTCCTAGGATGGAAAAACCCCCTCCCTGGTCTGCTTTGCCCCGTGATGGCACTTGTCCATACAGCTCTGCCTCAGACCTTGGGATCGAGAGCCAGGGCTGGGTCTTCGGGAGCATTTGGCCCAGGTCAGTCACCATTGACTTCAGCAGGAGCAGGTCTCAGCTGCTGAAAAGCCCATCCAGACCTGCTGCAAGGTGGAAACAAGTCGTTAAACCCTGTATATATTGGGGCAGTAGCAGCTGACATGAAATTTCCATTGGTTGCAATGGGTCAGAGGCAGCTGGGGCTCCTTTCCTCCCTGCCCGAGCCCCCGCCGTTGGGACCCGCGGGCAGGACTAAGGAGAAAAAGCAACGTTATGGGTCATGGGAAGAGGGAAAACAGAAGCTGCTGGGCCAGCTGAAGAGGAAACGGTGGGACACAGATGTCCGTGGAAAGCTGAAGCCACTTACAGAGGATGTGTTTACTCTTATTTCCTTCCACTAAGGCTTAATTGCAATGTTTTTTCATGGCAGGTAGCACAGGAGCTGGGCTTCTGCCTAAACACTCCTCCGTCCTGCCTAAAAGCGCTTCATTTAATATTAACAACAATTAATCAGAGCTACTGGGAAGCACGGGGCTGTGTTCCGTGGCTGTGGGAGCACTCAGTTCCCATGCTCAGCCCCATTAATTCCCATCTCCAGGCGAAGAGCAACTGGAGAGCGGTGGAGAAGCGAGGGGCTTCCCCGTGTGGAAGTCATCGCGGTGCCGGCACCCCTTTCCCCGGCTGAGCCAGGTCGGGTCTTGGGTTTGCTGCCACCTTGCTGTGTTTTTCCTCTTCTTGCCACCACGTCTCCCTCTCATTAGCAGCGCTAATTGCTGGTTGCATGTTTTGCATATGTCTATCGGTACTTCGGAACAGCTCGTTTTTGCATCCTGTAATTAAATGACCGCTAATGAACGCGTTAGAAAAGGAGCAGCCAAATGAGATAACCGGTGCGGGAGCGCTGGGTATATATTATAGAATCACAGGATCGTTCAGGTTGGAAGGGACTTTAAAAAACATGAAGTGCCACCCCCTGCCCTGGGCAGGGACACCTCCCACCAGACCAGGTTGCTCCAAGCCCCCTCCACCCTGCCCTTGAACCCCTCCAGGGATGGGGCAGCCACAGCTTCTCGGGGCAACCTGGGCCAGGCTCTCACCACCCTCACACCAAACAAGTTCTTCCCCACAGCTCAGCTCCATCTCCCCTCTTGCAGGGTCAAACCCTTCCCCCTCCTCCTAGGGCTCCCCTCCCTCATCCAGAGTCCCTCCCCAGCTTTCCTGGAGCCCCTTGAGGGACTGGAAGGGGCTGGAAGGTCTCCCCGGAGCCTTCTCTTCTCCAGGCTGAACCCCCCCAACTCTCTCAGCCCCCCCTCCCAGCAGAGGGGCTCCAGCCTCTCCTGTGATTATCATGTATAGTAATTAGCAGAGGAATTCACTGTTGAAACTCTTCCAACGGCCAGCAGTGAAGTGGGGATGAAGTCTGAGCCCAGCCCAAAGGGTAACCCGGTGATGGTGCCAGCCAGGGTAACCTCCGGGCTCCAGGAACCTTGAAGGCCCCAAAAAGGAGGGAATTGCAAGGAAAAGGGGCTTTGTTTGCTCTGGGGTCTGTAAGTCGTGGCTTGAGCCAGTCGGGCAGGATGCCACCAGTGTGGGGGGTGCAGCGGGGAGGGCAGCAGCCCCGGTTCCACGGTGGAGAACTGGGCTGGCAGATTTTAGGGGCCACCTGGGAAGGGAGCAATGCCATAATCACATATGATTGCAGCACAGGGCATTTGGGGGTAAGGTTTGGTGAGGTTTTGTCCCCAGTGTTGGGTGTGTGGGGATAGCAGGGAACAGGCTTGATGGGGATGGTGGCACAGGGAGACCTCCACCATGCTGATGGTGGTGCACTAGGGCTCCCCCCCAGCTCCCAGCAGACCTTTCCAAAGGTTTTAGGTCCTTTTCTGATGCAAGGGGCAATGAATCCTCACATTCCCCACGTGTGGTCAATGACCTGTGCTCTGCCGTGGGGTGCTTATGGCTGCAGAGGTGTGGAGTTTGGCTCATTGCCACAAGAAGGGCTGATTTTTCTCACAGTGAGAAAAACCCCTCTGCTCCGTGTCCCTGCAACGTCCGACGTGACATTTCTGTAAAATCCAGAAATCGAATTGACACCATCCCAAACGAGCTGCTGGGATACGGGATATTTTCACCCCTGAAATGCAGAGATGCCATCAGGGCGCTCGAGGTTGCGGAGGGCAACCAAAGGGGAGCACAACCCCCTTGTCTTGTGCTTGGATGTCGGCAATGCCATCGCTGGGCTTTGGAAAACCTTCAGGAAACCTTTGGGAAACCTTTGGGAAACCCACCTGAGGCTCCCCTCGGTGGGATCACCCCTGGCTCAGGCAGGATCCGGCCGCCCCTGGGCTCTCGCCAGCCCCGGCGGCTCTTCCCCAGCGATGACTCTAAGATAAATGTTTGTCTTTTCCATCCAAGAGATACGGCAGAACCCCCGCCAGCACCACCTCGCAGTGGAATGGGTTTTCTTTCTGCCAGGAGCGTTACCGCCTCATGATTCACGTCTTTACAGCAGCTTTGGAAGGAAAATGCTCCTCGCCAGTCAGACCTTCACACGTGGCCAGATGCCACAGTTTTTTCCAGACTTTCCAAAGGAAGCCACGGCCGAGTGAGACATTCCTTCTCCTCTTCCAGCTTTCTTGGAACAACCTCTTTTGATTAGCGAGTGAGGCAGATAGTTGGAAAGGCAGACAGACAGACGGACAGGCCAGGCAGTAGGGTTATAATCAGCAATTTGCATGAGCTCCAGCCTCTGGTGGGGCGGTGCCTCCTTCTGCCTCTCGGTGGGTGGTTGGTGAAAGACCCCATGGCCCCTTACCCCCTGCTCTCCTACATGGATCCAAAGCCCCTGCCCTCAGCTGTGTCCCAGACCCCTTGCCTTCCTCCATGGTCCAGACCCTCTGCTCTCTGCTGTGGTCCTCAGCCCCTGCTTTCCTCCATGATCCTCAAACCCCTGCCCTCCTTCATAGTCCTGGACCCCCAGTCCTCCTCCACAGCCCTTAACCCTCTGTCCTCCTCTATGGCCCTGGTCCCCCTGCCCTCTGCTGTGGTCTCTGACCTCTTGCCCTCCTCCCTGGTCCAGACCCTCTGCTCTCTACAGTGGTCCTCAACCCCTGTCTTCCTCCGTGATCCTGGACCCAATGTCCTCCTCCATGGTCCTGGTCCCCCTGCCCTCTGCTGTGATCACTGACCCCTCCATGGTCCAGAACCTTTGCTCTCTGATGTGGTCCTCAGCCCCTGCTTTCCTCCATGGTCCCCAAACCCCTGTCCTCCTCCATGGTCCCCAAACCCTTGCCCTCTGTCATGGTCCCTGACCCCCTTCCCTCTGTTGTGGACCTGGAGCCGGGTGGCACACAGGCTCTGATCTGCAGCAGGCTCCTGCCCAGCTATGGCTCCTTTGCCACCCCTGACCCCTCGCCCTCCTCCATGGTCCAGAACCTTTTGCTCTCTGCTGAGGTCCTCAGCCCCTGCTTTCCTCCATGGTCCTCAAACCCCTGCCCTCCTTCATAGTCCTGGACCCCCAGTCCTCCTCCACAGCCCTTAACCCTCTGTCCTCCTCTATGGCCCTGGTCCCCCTGCCCTCTGCTGTGGTCTCTGACCTCTTGCCCTCCTCCCTGGTCCAGACCCTCTGCTCTCTACAGTGGTCCTCAACCCCTGTCTTCCTCCGTGATCCTGGACCCAATGTCCTCCTCCATGGTCCTGGTCCCCCTGCCCTCTGCTGTGATCACTGACCCCTCCATGGTCCAGAACCTTTGCTCTCTGATGTGGTCCTCAGCCCCTGCTTTCCTCCATGGTCCCCAAACCCCTGTCCTCCTCCATGGTCCCCAAACCTCCACGGTCCCCAAACCCCTGCCCCCTGTCATGGTCCCTGATCCCCTTCCCTCTGTTGTGGACCTGGAGCTGGGTGGCACACAGGCTCTGGTCTGCAGCACGGCTCCTGCCCAGCTATGGCTCCTTTGCCACCAGGGAGAGGACAGAGGCTGCATCCAGCATCTCTGGGGCTCATCCAGGGCATCCCTGCGGGGCTCTCCCAAGGCAGGATGTCACCGTGATGCTGGAGGGGGGAGAAGAAGCCGTGCACTGTGCAGAGCATCCCTGCGAGCGGCCAGAGCCCACCCTGACACCAAGACGGAGTCACGGCATATCCCCCCTGCCACAGCACGCGTGGGCCCATGGCCGTGACTCAGCCACTGGCCCCACGGCTGCCACTGGCCCCGTGGCTCCTGCCTCTCCCCAGAGCCCCCGCGGGGTGAATCAGAGCTGACTTCGTGCTGGAGGACCCCACGGTGGAGGGAGGGTTGGATTTTCTCCCCAGCTCTCAGCATGGCGAGGCCTCTGCGAGGAGAGGAAGAGGAGGAGGAGGAGGGTAGACCACACTGTGTTCGGGGGGGCAGACAGAAAGAGGGGTTAAAAGAGCATCTCCTGGTGCAGGTGGCAGCAAAAGCCTGTCCCAGCGGGGAGGAGCTGGGTTTGCTTTGCCAGGTTGGAAAAAGCAACCAGATGTCCCCAGTGTGGCCAGCAGGTCCCATGCGAGGGACCAGTATGAGGCCAGGAAGGGGACAGGGGCTCCTGGCTCACTGCCTGCAGCTGCACCCCCTGCCACCCCAGCCCTGGCGCCCACAACAACAGGAGAAACAGAACAAGCATCTCCAGGGAGTGTGTTTGGAAAATACCAGGTTTTATTCGACAAGGCTGATGTCCAAGCTGACAGTTTTGTCCCAATGCACATGATGACGGGCACCTACGTGGGGCCGTGTCCCAGCTCCCTCCCTCCTGTGATGCTCTCAGGTGAGATGCTCACACACCCCCACCCCCGGCGCTGGGGGGATTCGGGGTTTCTTGGCAAAAAGAAAAGGTCTCCCTGCTCTCCATTTCCACCCCCAGCTTCCCAGAGGTCTCCTAAGAAAGCTCGGAGATGGCTGGGCTGTGGACAGGAGGGCTCTTGGGGCTGGCAGAGACTTGGATCCACAGGAGAGAAAGCATCTCAGTGTCGGGGGCTGAGCCACTGTGTGTCACAGGGAGCAGAAAACAGCCCCGGCTTCGGACCCCTGCCCATCACTTTGGAAAGAGAACCCAAACGTATGATACTGGGGGGAAAAAAGGGGTTTTGCCATCACAGAGGAGCCCCACCTGGGACATGGGCACCAGGGCTTCGCACAGGGCGTGGGGGGGAGAAGCAATGGGTGCTGGAGGATAAAGCAGAAGAAAAGGAGAACAGAGAAGGGAGAATGATGGGGGTGGCCTGAGAGCAGAGCAACGGTGCCTTTGGGGCTGTAAGGGAGAGTCAGAGCCCCTTCTTGGGGTGGGGAGGTGGGGGCTTTCTCTTGGGGGGTGACAGGGCAGCAAGGGAGGAGATGGCATGGTATGAGAAACATCTGATGGCCTCTGCTTGCCATGACAGTGACACGCAGCGTGACAGCAGGGACAGTGACAGTATTAGCCCGTTTCTGTTGGTGTTTCGGAGCGAGGGGTGAGGAGTGGGACGGAGAGAGGGACGCTGAGGAGCAGGGGGATCCTACATAAGAAAGCAGGAGGAACAGCAGTGGAGGGGGGCAGCAGCTCTGGGGCAGGTTTGAGCCCTTGTGAAGACCACGTCACCTCTCTCCAGGCCCTTCTGGCTGCTTCTTTCTCTGACGCTCTCCTTGCCTTTACTCCCACCTCCAGTCCCCTCTGCACAAGCTGTGCCCCTTCCCAGGCTTGGACGAGGATTTGGGTCTCCTCTTCATTAGTTCAAAAGTAGAGTCCTACCTCGAAGCAAGGGCAAGGAGCATGGAAGTTCCTGGGGTGGTGTCCCCCCAAACTCACCTGGACTTAAGGTGACCTCTTCTTCACAGTGCCTGGCCTCAGTGCCAGGGGACGTGGAGCTCCCACGGACCTTCTGCCATAGCCCTTGTCCCGTTGGGCACGTGGAGACGAGGGGCGCTGCCCTTCACACCCTTCCCATCACAACACAGCCTTCTGTTCCCAGCTTGCTTTTTCCCTCTTTCATTCCTTTTGCCTTTTTCTTGTCTCACCCAGCACTTCCACATCTTCTTGTTCCTGTTGAAGGCAAGTCCTTCTGCTCCACAGGTTTCCTGGAGGGCAGCGCTAACTGTGGTCATTCGGCAGGAGGAAGGAGAAAGGATGTTCAGCAGGTTGTTGGTGGGCTCAAAGGTGCTGGTCTCCATCCAGGGCAACATCTGTCTCCTGGCTGGTTTGTGCTCAGCTCGGCAGCCAGCTGTGCTGGCCATAAGGGCCAAGTGACAAGGCCACCCCTAATCCCTTGCCTTTCACTGCAGGGTCTCAAGGTCAGCTGTCCATGGGGAACCTCACCCTGAGCGGGTGTTTCCAAAGCAATGCTTGTTCTCCTCCCAGCACTGAGTTGCTGGTGCACAGAGAAGAGCCAACAAAATCATGGCTAAAATGGGGGAAGTCTGGCAAACAAGCCAGAGAAACCTGACTGGGGTGTCCTGGGGAGAGCAGGTCAGCAGATGGGTGAAAAGGATGCAGCTAGTGACACCCCCACCCTCCTTCCTGCCTCCCTCCCTCCACAGAGCACAAAACCACGGGGGTCTGACTCTGGGAAAGCATGAACATGGACCTGAACAAGGTCAAACTGCCAAACCCTTAACCCTGGGAGCCCTGCCCATCCGCAGGTTTGACTTGCCACCGTGGGTTTTTGAGGTTAATGACACACGTGGGCACCAAGTGCCCTGTCCCTGTGCTGGTCCAGAGGGAGGAAAACCTGCTCTCGGCTCTCCATGGGGTTATGTGACTCAGGGTGCTGGCCCTTCTCCTCCAGCACAGCTCAGCCAGCGCTGGGAGCTCCTTTCCAGCCCACCACTTCCTCTGCCATGGCCCATGGCTACCTGCCTGGAGCTACAAATGCCCCTGCTAAAGCCCCTTTCTTAAGGAGAACACCCAGGTGAAGGCTGCAGAAGTTCAGCTCAGCCGTTATGTGAAAGGAGAACTCGCTTGGCGACCTGAAAGTCTCAGAAAGAAAAACAAGGTCAATATCTGCAGAGATTTATAGGATGTTTATGCTTGAAAACAACAGCCGGGACCTGGCCTCTCTTTCCCTTGATGCCCCAGTGATGCCCTGGGTTAGTGTGTCACCGCTCTCCCCTGTGCTCTCACGCCGTGCCCTCCTTCTCGCTCCCTGCCGGCTCCGGGGACGCAGAGGTTGACATTCCTGTTCACACACTCTTGGCGCCAGTGAAAAAGCAGCTACAGCTCTAGCTCACCGTGCATTGCTCATACTTACAGCTTAAACATTGCCTTCTACTTGAAAGAACAAAGATAAAATGTCAGGAATTCACAGTTTTTATTCTCTTTCTTATGCCCACCCATCTTCCCCTGCCATCGATGTCAATGACTCAAAGTCCTCATAGTACAGCAGCCTTTTTTGCCAGTGTGGCGCTCGAAGGGTTAACAAACCGTGGCTTCTTGGACAGATAAGACATAAGCTCATTCACCGGTAGGAACACGTGGATGGCTGGTGGTACTACAGAACACCTTAGGGCTTCTTGTAGCGATTCTTTGGGGTTTCGCCACAGCCAGTGACGTCGCAGGAGAGAACGTTGGGCTTCTTCCCCAGGCCGATGCTGCCCAAGAGATCGGGAAGCTCGCGAGTGATGGCCTTCTCGATCTTCTCTAGGAAACACCCTCCCATGTAGGAACACTGCTGAGACAGCAGCTTAAAACTGGTGATGGGGTTGATGCCAAAGAAGTCCTTGTAAGCCTCGCGGTTGGGGAGGTCAAATTTGCTGACATTGGTCTTTGCCAGAATGGACTTAAAGATAAAGAACTTGTCAGGATCTTCCACAATGTCCCTGAACACCAGTTCTCCATCGCTAAAGAAGGTCATTTTGTCCTTGTAGGTCTGTAGATAGCGATCGACCAAAAGGGCGTGGATGCGCACCCGGATGGCGTGCTGGCGTATGAAGGCGATCTTATTCTCCATCCTGTTCTCAATCACCTGGTTGAGATCTTCCAGGAGCGATATCTCTTCTTTGAGGAACAGGTCTTTGTGGGTATCTGGATGGTACTCGTGGGGCCAGAAGGAGCTAACGTACACCCTGGGTGGCTCCGTGACGTTGATGAGAGGAGCCAAGCTCCAGAATAAGGCGCCATAGACTCTCATGAGCTCCTGGGTGGCCAGGCTGTCGGCTTTGTTCAAGATGATTCGGATTTGGGACTCGCGGCCCTTCAGCTGGCGAAACAGCATCTCCAGCTCCAACCCCACATCCAGCTTCGTAGGGTCAAAGACAACGAAGATGAGATCAGCCCTGTCGATGAACCACTGGCACACGTCGTTGAACGGGTAACCTTGAGGAGAGGAAAGAGAGAAATCCAGCAGAAAAGGCCAGGGCAGGGTGAGTCCCTCTAGGCCAAGGGACAGATAAACCTTGGGCCTGTCACGTCTCACGCCCTGTCTGGGTTGGACAGGGTGTGAGAGACACGGCAGACTTCCCGTGCAGCCCAGAACCTGTTTCTCATGTGCTGAAAACACTTGAGAGATTCTTGGCATGAAAACCCATCCCCGTGTGCCTGGGCCTGTGACTGCCTGTCTCCCTCAGCCTCACCTCCCCACCTTCTTTCTCCCCGCTGCTGGCCACAGGCTCCAGCTGCTCCTGTGAGCAGACATCAGCCACATCCTCCCTTTCCTCAGTGGGCACCAAGCGGGTCAAGAAGCCCTTGCTGATCTCTCCTGGCATCCCAGGTGCTGTGGGGATGGTCCTTCTCTAGGCCCTGCTGTAGCACCAGCCGTTGGCAAAGCCTGGCTTCCAGGGTGACAAACGGAGCATTAAATGCTGTGCTGAGGAGAACAACCGACAGCCCAAGGAGTCCCCTTGCCGAAATGCCTGGCTGTCTCACCTCCAAGCAGCAGAAATGGCTGCTCTAGTTGATGACACTTGGGTACATTCCCCAGCTCCCACCTGCTGCTGCCATAGCCACGGGCAGACAAACGTCACCATCCCCACCAGTATATAGAATCATAGAATTGCCTGGGCTGGAAGGGACCTTTCAGGTCATCTAGTCCAACCATAAGGGCTTTGCCCCATAAGGGCAACAAAGATGGTGAGGGGTCTGGAGCACAAGTCTTATGAGGAGAGGCTGAGGGAGCTGGGGGTGTTCAGCCTGGAGAAGAGGAGGCTGAGGGGAGACCTTATTGCTCTCTCCAACTCCCTGAAAGGAGGGTGTAGAGAGGTGGGGGTCGGTCTCTTCTCCCAAGTCACAGGCGACAGGACGAGAGGAAATGGCCTCAAGTTGCGCCAGGGGAGGTTCTGGTTTAGTGATGATGCTCCTTGTTTGTTGTGTGGGTGTCTATTTTTGTCAGTGAGGTTGACGGTTGGACAAGATGATCTTTGAGGTCCCTTCCAACCTAGAAGTTTCTGTGATTCTGTGATTCTGTGACCCCTTTTGGAGCCTTAGGGCTCTTCCCCATTGTGCTTCAGCCATCTTTGTCTCCTCACATAATTACGACATCTTTTCTGGAGTCCCTTAGGTGAACCCTTTAAACCCCTACCTCGTTCTTGCTGCTTGCGGTTTTCAATGATGCCCGGCGTGTCCACGAAGGTGACTCGCTCCAGCAGTTTGTGGGGCACCTCGATCCCTATCAGCTTCTCCAAGAAGTTCTGCCCAAACTTCTCCAGGGGCGAGAAGGAGCGGGCGCTGTCGGCAGCCATCACGATGCCCTCGATGGTCTTCAGCTTGGGCCCGTGCATGATGACAGTGAATTCGGAGGTGGTGGGTTCTGCTCCTGCCCAGCAACAAGAGGAGCAGCAGAGCTGTGAGATCCATGCCGGGCAATGGCCATGACAGGGCTGGCCTGGGACTAGCCAGGGAGCTCAGGAGCATCACTCGCTTGCCAAGAGATGCTAGGGGAAGGCAAGCAGCGGGGCTATTAAATTCTTGCCAAACCTCTTGAGCGGGACTGTCTTCTGCAGGGGCTGGTTGTTCTGGAGGTGGCCTGACAGCACAAGGTGCCCTGGAGAACCACCTCATTACCCAGGGCAGAGCTGGCCATGGACATCTGCCCTCAGCTGGGAGATGACACCCGTGGGAGCAAGGTGGAGGGAAGGGGAATGGCTTTTGTCCTGGGAGGGTGAATTAATTGGCTCCACATGAGGAGGGAAGGGGAGAAGACAAGGGTGAAGTGCCCTTGAGATGTGACCACTGCTCTCATGGTCAGGGTCAGGGGTGGTGAGCCCTGTGCTGTGGGACGGGGATGCTGCAGGATGAGATGCCCCCCTCCTCCCCAGGGAGGGTGGACAGGCCGTGGGCCGTGCTGGGTGGCACATCTCCCTTCCACGTGGCACCGCAGGCGGGTGGCACGGACCAGATTGCAACCTCCATTACGGATGGGGAGGATGAAGACACGTGGCCAGGAATCACTGACCATGTGGATGCAGAAGGGAGAGCCCCCTCGGTGGAGCAGGGAGGGAGCGGCGAGCGCGGTACCTGTGTAGAGCTGGTAGGGAGTGTCGTCCAGCCCCAGGAGGTAGTTTATCATGGAGGATTTGCCGACGCTCCACGGTCCCAGGAATAGCACCATTGGCTTGGAAGTGATCTCCCCATCTGCGGAGAGGGGAAATAACAAGAGGAAGTGAAGAAACAATAGCCGCCGCCGCCGCGCGATTAACTCCCAGCTGTAACGAGCATCCCATCTGAGCGGCGCGGGCAGCGCTGCCGGGGAAACAGCCACCCTCTTTGGGGGCTGCCAGCCATTCGCCAGCCAAGGCATCGCCCAGCCACGGGCCCCGGTGTCTGCGGGAGCGGGACACCACCGTGCTCCGCAGGACACCCCCACCTCACTTGTCTGTCGTTCTCTGAGGTTTTTGGCCTTTCTTAGATGGTGGGAGGACTCGGAGGTCTTTGAAACCTTGCCTCTTGTTGGGCTGTGGTTTAGCCAGAGTGAGTTTGGGGCTGGCTGCGGGGCGAGGGGGGGCTTGAAGGCGGCCGCCACAAAGCGCGGGACATGCGAACGCCTCGTGCAAGGGGAGCTGGCGTGGCTGGAGGAGCAGCGCTGCGGCGCGGTGCTTGGCAAGCGCGGTGCGAGCCTGGGGCCGGCTGCCTGCCTTGCCTTTCCACCCGCACCTCGCAGGAGGTGGTGGCTCCCAGCCCCCAGCTCCAGCAGAGGGTCCCTGCCTACCTGTGGGCTGGGTGTGAGGGTCCAGCCCTGCGTGGGGAGGGCAGGCTGGGCAAACGGCCCTGCTTTGGGCTTGGGGAAAGGCAGGAGGAGGATGAACAGTCCCCATCCTGCAGTTTTCAAGTGGCTGGATGTTGCCAAGAGGCTGGTGATGGCCCATAAGGACTTGTCTTGGTGCTACACAACTGGTCTGGGAGGTCAGTGATCCGTGGACATGGGCAGTCACTGCCCCAGGAGCAATCCCTGCAGCCATCCTGTGCCCACACTGCTCGACCCTCCCAGCCCTCAGGCCACTGGGCAGGCAGACAGCGTAGCCAGAGGAGCCCCTGGCCCATGCCAGCCCCCAAGCTGTGCCCAGGACAGCCAGGAGCCTGCTAGTCAGCTCAAGCCCAAATCAGGCCAGAAATGGGAGTAAAAACTGGATGAGTGAGTTCCCGTTCGTGGGAACATTCCCCATCCCTGTTTGTGCACCATCACTGATGTAGCCAGATGAACCCGGGCAGGAAACGGTGCCAGGAGACCTGTGGTGGCAGATGGCAGAGAGCAGAGCAGGCTGTGGCCACCCTGCCGTGGCACCAACCCTGCACAGACCCTGGGGCATCTGCTCCAGGCAGGGACGTGGCAGCAGGAGGGGTTTGCTTTCCCCATCCCTGGCAGCTGGGGGGACCCACGCTGCTCTTGTCCCCCTCCCTTCGGCTCCTCTCCGAAGGCAGAGCTATTTTCCCTGCAGTGGCTGCCTCCCACGCAGGAGCCATCAGCCTTCCAGCAAACCGGGGGTCCATCTCCCAGGCGGAGTGAGCCACAAAGCCCATGTGGTGCTGAGCTCCAGCTCCCCAGGGTGCTAGAGGACACTGCACGGTGTGTCCACACCAAACCCATCTGATCACGGATGCAGGAGTTGGGCAGAGCGTGCCAGCCTCCTCCTGCCTGCATCTGCCCATCGCACGGCCACCGTGTCACCGCTGGGGAAAGCAATGGCCTGGGGACATCTCTCCATGGGCCCAGATGTCCACATCATGAGGGATGTCCCAACCCTCCTCCCCAAAGCAGGGCAGCTGCATCTGAGCCAGGGGGATGGCCCTGCCTGCTCCCTGCCCGCTCCCTGCCTGCTCCCTGCCTGCGAGCCGCGGGGATCCAACATCGGCTTCTCACACGGGACAAAAACAAATGTTGAAACCTCGGACTTTCGTTATTAATCATTCCTCTGCGTCGCTCTATCACCGCCGCTCTCTTCGCTTCCCGGCTTTAATTGGGTTTCGGATGATGATGATTATTATTATCCCCTGTGATGTTGTGCCAGAGGTTTGAGGCGGGTCCCCGCGTGCTCTTTCGTAAGCCCGTCCCTGGCCAGGCGTGGCTGTGTGAACACAGGCAGCCTGTGCACCCCGGCTCCGTTTCACCTCCCCACAACCCCACCAACAGCTCCTCGAGCCCACCTCTGCCCCTGGCTTTGGGAACGGGGGTGCTGGCACCCCACAGGCTTTGCAGGCAGCGCCAGGCACCGGATCCTTGCAGCTCTCCAGGTACCAGCAGCTCTGAGGACGTGAGGCCATGCGTGGGTCCTCCTTGCTACTGCCCAAAGCGCGGGGCTGGGGGAGCAGAGAGCACCTCCCACCCAGGAGGGTGCTGGCCTGGCATCTGTCCCTGCTATGTCCCCACGCTATCTCTGTTGGGCACCAATTTGGGTCACCTTGATGGTCTGGCTGGGGAGAAGAGCCGGTCCTTGCCAGCCGCAGGGCAGGGATGGCGGCAGCTCCATCACGGCGGCTCTCTCCAGCCACCCTGTGGCTGCTCGCTCCCAGCCCAGCCTGCTTCACATCCCAGCTCAAGTTCATCCCGGTATCAAGCTCATCCCAGTTCAACCTCATCCCAGCTCAATCCAGACACGTCCCGGTGACATCCGCAGAAGCAGGATCAGGCCCTGCCTGCGAGTTGGGGGGTCCTCAGACCTTGCACCCCTTCATCTGCGGTCTTGTTAGAACACAGCAGCTTAAATCACCGCTTCTCTGAACTGCCCAGTTAGGAGCATGGTGGGGATCCCAAAAACACCTGGCAAACACAGCCAGGAAGGCCATGTCTCCCTCTGCAGAGCCTGCCTTTGTATGGGTTGTTCAGCTCTGGGGGTAGGAAAAATTTGGATACCCAAAAAGGTTTTTTTTTATCTCAGCAATGGCTTTCTGGGTGGTTTTTCTATGTCGCTTGCAACGCCAAACTGCCCCTGGGTGGGAGCACTGCTGCTCCAGGGCCAGGATTAATCCTGGGCTGGGGTCTTCTCCCTCCCTGTCCTCAAGCCCAGCAAAAGTGCCTGGTGTTGGCTCACCCCCTGCTCTGTCCCAAGGATGGGGAGGACATGGCAAAACATCCTTTCTTTCCTTGTTCAGACTGAACCATGGGCACGAAGGTCTTGCTCTGTCCTCAAACCACCCAGGGGACACCTAAAACACCTGGGGAGACTCTCCCAGCATCGCCCACGCTGCCACCCCATCCCCGTACCCCAAACACCTACGCCATGGGTGCTCTGCCTGGCAGCCCTCGGGGTTGGGGGGAAGTCTAAAACACCTGGGGAGACGCCCACGCTGCCACCCCATCCCCATACCCCAAACACCTACGCCATGGATGCTCTGCCTGGCAGCCCT